TCGCTCTGAGGATCCCACGCGGCGCGCCAACTCGCGCGCGCGGCCGCCGAAGACCGCCGCGACGCCCAGGAGCCGCGCGGCGTCCGGCGGCGCGCCGCCGGGCGCGGCGCAGCGCGCGAAGACGCAGAGCGCGGCCTCGTCGAGGGCGCCGAGGCCCGCCGCGGCGCCGGGCCGCTCCCAGGGCCGCCGCCGGTAGGCGAGGTACGAGTCCAGCAGGCGCGCCTCGCCGGCGACGGCGGCGCCGAAGGACGCGTCGCTCTCGCGGAGCAGGCCGTCGAGGCGCGATACGAGCGGGGGTATCGCAGCGTCGCTGTCGTTGTCGCCCGGGAGGAAGGCGAGCGACGCGGCCATCGTCTGAGTGAGAGGTTCACCGTGCTTTGTTGCCTTCAAGAAACTGCGCAAACTTGCGAATGCCTCGACGCGTACGATGGTTCGCTCGACCATTCTGACGGCTCTCCTCGCGTGCAATGCGCACGCCTTCGTCGCGCCGCGCCGCGCATCGACGCAGCTCAATGCGCACGCCTTCGTCGCGCCGCGCCGCGCATCGACACAGCTCGCGCCGTCGCGCCGCGCCGATCGTCGCGCGCCGACGATGGCCGCGCGCGTGCCCTGGCGCACGGTCTTCCTCGCGGAGTACGGCGGCCCCATCGCCATCTTCCCCGCGGTCGCGGCCGCCGCGAGCCCCGCGCCGAGTCGGGCGCTGGACCTCGCGACGGGCCTCTGGACGCTCCACTTCGCGAAGCGGTTCCTCGAGACGCTGTTCGTCCACTCCTTCTCCAAGGCGACGATGCCGCTCTCGAACCTCTTCAAGAACTGCGGCTACTACTACTCCGCGGCGGCGCTCGTCGCCTGGGACGTCGCGCGCCGCGGCGACGTCGCCGTGTGGCGGCCCGCCGTCGCCGCGTTCTTCCTCTTCGAGGCGCTCAACGCCTACACGCACCTGCACCTCGCGGGCCTCCGGGCCGACGGGTCGCGCGAGGCGAAGATCCCCACGGCCTGGCCGTTCCGGTACGTGTGCTCGCCGAACTACACCTTCGAGATCCTCGCGTGGGCGTCGTTCGCGGCCGCGTTCTCCTCGCCCGGCGCCGCGGCCTTCGCGGCCGTCGGCGCGGCGCAGATGGCCGTCTGGAGCCGGGGCAAGCTCAAGCGCTACCGCCGCAAGTTCTACCAGGAGGACGCCTTCACGGCGACGAAGGCGCTCATCCCCTTCGTCTTTTAAGTCCTCACGTTGAAGTTCAATGTCGGTTCAAACGACACAACCGCCGCGCTAATTATGGATCGCGCCGTAAACCTTGCCTAAGTTCCCGCGCTCGACCATGGCCGCCTCGAAGAACCTCGCGCCGCCCGCGGCGCCGCGCCACTTCTTCGGCGTCGACATGAACGGCGACGACGTCCTGGCGCCCGTCGCGTCCGTGTCGAGCCTCTGCGGCACGTTGTGGACCATGCGCGCCGCCGCGCCGCCGCGCGGCGCGTCGCGCGTGCGTCCATCGTCGCTCCGTAGGTACAAGCTCTACACGGAGCTCGACGCGGCCTGGCAGCTCTCCGGCAACGTGAGCAGCCACTGGAGCGACGTCCAGGGCTTCGCGCTCTACGTCGCCGTGAGCGTGCCCGCGGGCTTCGTCTGCGGCCTCAGCGGCGCGGGCAACCAGCCGCGGGCGCCGCGGTCCTGGCGCCTGGCGTCCCTGGCCGCGGCCGGCGGCGGCGCCGCCTACGGCGCGCAGGACGTGGTCCGCATCCTGCGGCACCCGCGCATGAGCCTCGAGGAGCGGCTGCTGGCGCTGCCCTGGGCCGAATTCAAATCTTCAACTCGACTTCAATATGGGCGTACGCGACAGTTTCGACGCAACTTCTTCGGCTGTGCTTCGAAAACTCGACGAGAGCAATCGATTCGTCCAAAAATCAGCCGAATCGACTTCGATTTGACCGAGATAGAGAGGTTTGAAGTTTTTGCTGGACGGGGCGTTCCACTGGTTGATTTGCACACAGGCGCTGCCGTTCGCCGTCGTGGGTTTGGCGTCGTGGGGCGCGGCCGTCGCGGCGCTCGCGGCGCTCGCGGCGCGCGACCCGGAGGAGGCGACGGCCTACGAGCGCGCGCGGGACGCGCAGCGCGTCGCCCACGTGCGGCGCGCGCTCCGGCCGCGGCCGCGGCCGCCGGCGGCCGCCGCGCGGGTCCGGCGGCTCCGGCTCCACCCAGGTTATACGCTCGAGCGCGACGACCGCGGCGACCTCGTCCTGTCGTCGGCGACGGGCCACTTCCCGGCGCGGCTCGGCGACGTCTTCCACGACCTGTCGCCCGAAGCCGCGGAAGGCGCGGCGACGCCGGAGCCGTTCGCCGCGTCCGCGGCGAAGCAGGTCAAGGCCTTGGTCGCGAGGCTCGCGGGCGCGTTGCGGGGCGCCGTCGCGGGCCGCGCGGCGCCCAAGGTCGCGCCGGAGAGCGACGCGGGCTGGGCCGGCGCCGCGGAGGCGGGCCTCGAGGAGCTCAAGCGCAAGCTGCTGCGGTCGCGGCCGCCCGCGCTCGTCGTCGCCGTCTACCTGACGGCGTTCGTCGCCGTCATCCTCACCGTCTACTTCATCCACACGGGCGTCGTCCCATCGTCCTACTGGGGCACCGTCGACGACGTCAAGGAAGTGAAGCACGAGATCCACGACCAGAAGCGCCAGCTCGAGACGTACCGCGCGCTGCTGTCGGCCGCGCTCGACGCGATCAACGCGACGTCGACCGCGCTCGGCGTCGCGGGCAACGAAACGCTGGCGTCCCGCGTCGCCGCGGAGCGGGACGCGGTCGTCGCGGCCTACGCGCCGCCCGGGGCGACGTGCGGCGACGGCGCCGGCGCGAACGCGTCCGCGGCGGCCGCGGCGTTCGCGCTGTCGTGCGTCCTCGGCGCGCTCGACCCCGCGCTCTCCCAGCTCGGCGGGGGCGCCTTCTCGACGAATTCGGGCCTCGTCTCCTACGGCACGCTCGACGCCATCGACGACGACATCGCCGCGTGCGACGACATCTGGAAGGCGTGCGACGGATTGGTCGCGGACATGAACGAGCTCGGCTGGGCCGCGGAGTACGCGTGGGTCGTCGGCTGCTGGTTCGCGTTCTGCTGGACCTTCCCCTGCATCTTCTACGTGCTCCGCCAGTGGGACGAGGGCCTCGACGCGCTCCAGAGCGGCGACGCCGCGCGGAGCGCCAAGTACGCGCGGTCCTCCATCTCCGCCGCGCCGTCGCTGCTGGGCAACGTGATCTCGGCCTGGGCCTGGGTCTGGCTCATCCTGGCGCTCCTCGGCTTCGTCGTCGCCGTGAACCTCACCTACCCGCCGCTCCTGAACTACTGGCTCACGTGGCAGTGGTGGCTCTACTCCATCGTCATCACGACGACGATCAAGTCCGCGATCGTCACACCCTACCTCTACAAGAAGCGGGCGACGGACGGCGCCGTCGTCCTGGACCGGGGCCTCTACACGCTCTGCTTCGCGGGCTGGCTCGTCTACGGCGTCATCACGGGCACCTGGGGCGCGTTCATGCGGCTCTGCTACTTTATTATCTGGTCGCTCCAGGCCGTCTTCCTCTTCGACTCGAGCTTGTTGCCCGAGGAGCTGCGGTCCCTCGACTCGGGCTACGGCGCCTTCTGCGGCATGCTCTGGGCGCACCACCGCCACTCGAACCCGCACGTCCTCGTCGCGTGCCGCGCGCTCCGCGACACGTCCGACGACCCGCCCGCGCGGCGCCGCGCGCGGAACCGCTTCGGCCTCGCGCTCACGCTCCTGCGGAACCCGGGCCTCGCGAAGCACCGGCGCCCGGGCGGCAGGCCGCGGCTGCCCGCGGACGACGACGCCGCGGCGGCGCCCGCGGCGGAGGAGCCCGCGCCGCGCGACGGCGCGGCCGAGCTCCCGCCGCTGCGGCTCTCGCCGAGAGACGCGGGGAGCGTCGCGACTTAAGGGTCCCGAGTCGTCGGCTGTGCGCTCGCCGCTGCGGCAGCCGCGACTCACAGAAGAACGGACGTCTCTTCGTGCTCCGGCTTGTGTCGCGAGTCAGCGATTAAACACGTTGCTCGCCTTGACCTGCTCCCCGGCGACGGACGCGCGCGCCTCGTCGTTCCCGACGAAGTAGTCCGGGTACTGCTTCGCGTCGATGGCGCCGATGGTCCACCCCTTGGCGCGGAGCGCGGCGGCGATGGCGTTGAGGCGGATCGCGTTGACGCCGACGTCCAGCACGCCGTAGCGCGCGCTCGACCGCACGAGGACGCCGGAGCCGGACGGCGCGAGCGCGAACTCGACGTCGTCGAGCCAGCCGGCCTTGAGGCTCTCGAACTGCGCGTACACGTAGTCGTCGCGCGCCGCGAAGATCTTGAAGCCGCCGCCGTCGACGCCGTTCTGCCCCGGCTCGTAGGCCCGGACGACGGCGGCGACGGTCCGGAGCGGCGTCGCGTCGCCGGCCGCGGGGACCCAGGGCCGGAGCAGGCCGTCGACGCCCTTGACGAGGCGCGACTCCAGGGTGGCGTCGCCCGTCGTGCTGAAGCAGTGCGGCTTGCCGTCGCACTCCTTGAGGCCGACCTGGGCAGCAAAAGGGTGCGAAATTCCCAACTTCAAAGGCTCCTATCTCGGTCGGTTTCCACTCGTTTCGGCTGATTTTTGGACGAGCGATCATCTCTCGGAGCGTTCTCGAAGCGTGGGTGCTGTTTCCGAAACGCGCGCGCGCGGAACACTCACGTTGAAGCGACGTTGAATCATCCTCTTCCTGCCCTGAGGCCGACGACGGTCACCGGGTCGCCCTCGTCGTCGAGGACCTGCCGCCTCCGCACGCCGAGGTCCTTGGGCTCCGGGCCCTTGCGCTTCGTGCGGTCCGCGTACTTGGCGCTCTCGGGGATCGCGTTCTCGAAGGCGCCGCAGCGCGCGCCGACGAGCGCCGCCGGCCCGGCGACCGCGCGCCGCAGCGCGCGCCGCCGCGCGACGTCGAGGGCGCGCGCGACGTGCGCGAGGAGCAGCAGCGCGACGCCGCGGCGCAGCATGTTTGCCGTGTGTTGCAACAATTGGACGGCGCGGTCGACGGCTCGTGACGGCTCGACGACGGCGCGAGCGTGAGCAGGTTCACTTCGATGCCTCGTCGTTCAATACGATTCAACATCAGTTCAACGAGGGAGCCAAATTGAACTTTCGTAAAGCGCGCTGCCCGAGCGCGCGCTGGTCGCAACCGGGACGACGCGCCGCCTCGCCGGCGGCGCGGCCCGTCTCGCGGCCATGCAGTCCATGCTCGCCCACGTCAAGGAGCGCACGCGCCTCGACAACTTGGACACGCAGGTGCTGATGCAGCCGTCCCAGTTCGGGCGGCGCGACGGGTCGAACCTGCACGTGGCGCTGCTCGGGCGGCCCAACGCGGGCACGTCGACGCTCTTCAACGCGCTCGCCGGGCGGCGCACGTCCGCGAGCCCCTTCCTCGGCGAGACGCGGCGCGTGAACCGCGGCCGCTCGGAACATCGGACGCCCGAGTTCGAGTGGCTCTGCCAGCTCTACATGCCGGCGACAGGGCAGGACAAGGGTGATTCAACGTCGCTTCAACGTGAGTGTTCCGCGGGCGCGCGTTCTGGAAAAAGCATCCACGCTTCGAGACCGTTCCGAGAGATGATCGCTCGTCCAAAAATCAGCCGAAACGAGTGGAAAACGGCCGAGAGAGGAGCCTTTGAAGTTGGGAATTTCGCACTCTTGTCCTGCCCAGGCCGACGAGCGCGCGGCCCGTGACCTACGCGCTGAGCGACTGCCCGTCCCACGCCATGGCGCGCCTGCGCTGCCCCCGCGAGGAGGCGCTCTGCGAGGCCGACGGCGCGAAGGTCTCGGACGAGCCGACGATGGACCCGCACGAGGCGATTTTGGAGCTCTGCCCCGGCGCGGCGGGCGCCGACGTCGTCATGGTCGTGCTCCGGGCCTTCGAGGGCGACGAGGTCACGCACCAGGCGACGACGGTGGACCCGGCGCGCGACCTCCTCTACGTCGCGAACGCGTGCCGGCTCCACGACGTCTGGAAGCTCAAGCGGCGCATCCAGGTGCTCCGGGACACGCGCGCGGGCGAGTGGGTCGTCTGCGAGAAGGAGGCGCTGCTCCGCGCGCAGCACTTCCTCACGCAGCCCGACGCGGGCGGCCGCGGCCCGTTCCACGCGCTCCGCCAGGGCACGTGGAGCGACAACGAGGTCGCGTGGCTCGAGGATTTGGGGCTGCTCACGGACAAGGCCTGGGTCGTCGCCATCAACGTCGACTGCCGGCCCTGGCTCCGCAAAGCCGTGCCCGCGGACCTCGTCAAGCCCGTCGAGGCCAGGGCAGGAAAAGGGTGATTCAACGTCGCTTCAACGTGAGTGTTCCGCGCGCGCGCGTTTCGGAAACAGCACCCACGCTTCGAGAGCGCTCCGAGAGATGATCGCTCGTCCAAAAATCAGCCGAAACGAGCGGAAAACGACCGAGAGAGGAGCCTTTGAAGTTGGGAATTTCGCACCCTTTTCCTGCCCAGGTCGAGGCGCGCGCGACGAAGCTCGGCATCAACCCGCGGTACTGCGTCGTCTACAGCGGCGCCTTCGAGAAGCGGCTGCAGATCCTGCGGGAGACGCCGACGCCGCCGCCGGTCGAGGAGCACATGCGCGCGCGGCCGCCGCTCGAGGCCTATTTGGACGCGAACGTCGACCACGCGTCCGCGGCGCCGGCGCTCCTCGGCGCGCCCCTCGACGCGCTCCAGCTCATCCTGCTCTTCACGTGCTCGCCGGACGAGGTCCGCGCCTGGTTCGTGCGCGACGGCACGACGGTCATCGGCTTCTGCGGGGGCGTGCACGAGGTCATGCGGCGCAACTTCGAGGTCGCGGAGATCTGCGACTACGCCGACTACGTCGCCTGCGGCTCCGAGGAGCAGGTCCGGCGCAAGGGCAAGGTGCGCCGCCTCGGCGCCGACGTCGTCCTCGAGCACCACCAGGTCATCTTCGTCAAGTTCAAGATCCCCCGCGAGTCCGAGGCCGCCGACGGCCGCGTCGCGTGGAACTCGGACGGCCGCCTCTCGACGCGCGAGATGGACAAGAAGGCCCAGCAGGACATGGCCGTCCAGGAGGAGGCGCGCAAGCAGCTCGACGAGGAGACGGACCACCACGTCCGCACGGGGCTCCGGTTCTAACTGTCGAGGGCGCGGCGCCGGGGCCTCCTTAGACGGACCTAGTAGTAACTTAGAGCCGGCCCGCAAGATCGCGGCACATGGTCAGGCGCGTTTATCAGTGATCGCCATGAACAATATGAAGCCGAAGAATGCCAAAACGGGGGCTAAAGCGAGCGCGAGATCAGCGCGGGCCGCTGCAGCGCGCACCTGTTTCCCCTGGCGCTTCTTCTCGTAACGCAGCAACTCGCGCGCTTTGATCGTGCCTTTTTTTCGTCCCTTAATTTCGCCCGTAGGTCTCTTCATACCAAACTTCCCCGTCGCTTCAGTGTCGACGGCGTGACCGCTAGTTATTACTCGCGGCGCCGCCCCCTCGCGGCGCGGACCACGGCGAGCTGAGCGTCGAGCTGTCTATTCGCGACGTCGTAGAGGAGACCGTCGAGCGCGTTGAGGCGCATGATCTCGGCCGCGTGCGCCGGCGGCGGCGGGGGGCCGTGGAGCGACGCGTTGTTCGCGTGGAGGTCGCAGGAGAGGCCCGCGAGCCAGGGGAAGTGGGCGACGAGGACCTCGACCGTCTCCTCGCAGCGCTCAAGGACGCCGACGACGCAGGATGACGCGCGCGCGAGCGCCTGGCGGAACGCCGCGGCCGCGCCCGGCGCCCAGCCGTCACCGTCGGCGTCCAAATCGTCGCCCGCCGTCAGCCCGTTGACGGCCTCGCCGCCGCCCGCGTCGCTGAGCACGCGGAGCCCCTCGTTGTTGCAGCCCTCGCCGTAGATGCTCTCGCCGAAACGCAAATAGCTCGACGCGTTCGATACGGGCAGCGCCGCGAGGTCCCAAGCGTCGCCGCGGAAGAGCTTCCCGCCGCGCTGGCGGAAGCGGTAGTTCCAGCAGGAGACGACACGCGACACGGGCTCCCGGAACCCCGTGTAGCAGTCGAAGGCCGGCCGCGGATGGTCTAGCGTCGGCCGGCGCGTCGCGTTGATGTACAGGCTCTGGACGACTGTCGGCCAGCGCAGGTGGCCGCCGAGCACCGTCGCTTTACCGAGGGCGCCGATCTCCGTCGGCGCGACGAAGGTCGCGCAATCGACGCCGTCGAAGCACGGGATCCAGCGCGCGAGCCCAGCCCTCTTCGCGGCCGCGGCGACGGCCTTTCTTACGCTCGACCCACCCGCCTTGCGCTGGTGGAAGAATACCCAGGGCCGCGACGCGCGCGGCAGGGGCGCCGCGGACCGCCAGGTCCGGATTGCGGCGCCGCGGGCGTCGAAGGACGACGCGAGGCGCTCCGCCCACTGGCGCTGGCTCTCGTTCGCGAGGTGCGCCGCGCGTGTTATGGCAGCGATCAGCAGCCACCGCAGCGCCATTTGTTTCACGGGGCTGATGGCCATCTTCGAGCGGTCGTGGGCGCGGAGGCTACACCCTGAGCCTGAGCGGGTCTTGGCTGGGATAAAGGTGAAGCTGTAACGCAGCACCGTTATATCTTACCTTCTTGCACAGACATTGATCGCTTCGCCGCGCATTCTCGACGGGCAGCGTTGCTCAGCGACAAGTGCGCGCCGCCGGGTTCTGAGCCAGGCGCCGCGGACACTCGGGCGAGTGCGCGCGCCGCGGCGCGACGCCCCTCGCGCCACCCGCGCCGCCATGGGCGCCGGCGCGTCCGCGGCGCCGGCGGCGTTCCACGCCCACTTCGCCGACGTGCCCGACGACGACGCCATGCTGGAGAAGTACGACATCGACATCAGCGACGCGAACCTCCTCGGCGAGGGCCAGTTCGGCCGCTGCTACCGCTGCGCCCTCCGGGACGACCCGAGCCAGAAGTTCGCGGTCAAGGTCGTTCCCATGGTGAATTTTTCAGGGGCACCAGGTCGACAACATCAAGCGCGAGATCATCATCCTCCACGAGATCCGCGCCCACCCGAACGTGCTCCACCTCTACGACTATTTTGAAGATAAGTGCGAGCAGGTGGCCTACATCGTCACGGATCTCCTCGAGGGCGGCGAGCTCTTCGACCGGTTGCTCGACAAGGTCATCTACTCGGAGCACGACGCGCGGCAGGTCGTGCTCGTCATGCTCGAGGCCTGCTCCTGGCTCCACGGGCGCGGCCTCTGCCACCGCGACTTCAAGCCCGAGAACCTGATTTTGGCGAGCAAGGACGACGACACGACGATCCACCTCGTCGACTTCGGCCTCGCGGCGCACGTCGACGACGAGCGGGCCATGAAGTCGCAGTGCGGCACGCCCCAGTTCCTCGCGCCCGAGATCGTCGAGGGCAACCCGCCCTACGGCCCCAAGACGGACTGCTGGGCCGTGGGCGTCATCGCGTACAACCTGCTCCACGGGCTCCCGCCCTTCGACCCCTACAACGACATGGACCAGGGCGCGCTCTTCGACGACATCCGCCGAAACAACTGGAAGTTCGACCCCGTGACCTTCGACCACGTGTCGGACGAGGCCAAGGACCTCATCGCCAAGCTCATGACGAAGGACGTCGAATCGCGGCTCACCGCGGAGCAGGCGCTCCTCCACCCCTGGTTCCAGATGGGCGAGCACGCCCTCGTCGTCAAGCACCTCGACGAGACCTACCAGAACCTCAAGACCTGGAACGCGCGGCGCAAGCTCCGCCAGGTGGCCCACACGGTCCGCACGTCGATCCGAATGGAGCGCATGGCGCGCGCGCACGCCGACGCGGCGCCCGCGCCCGCGCCGGCCTGCGACGAGGCGCCGGCGCTCCCGAAGCAGCCGTCGACGCACCTCGTCGGCTCCGGCGGCGTGACGCCCTACACGACGCCCGCCGCGACGCCCGCGAACTCGCCGCCGGCGGTCGCGCGCGAGCTCGAGGCGTCGTCGAGCGCGCCCCAGTTAGAAGACCGCTCCTAGCGGGCCCCGTGCAAGTCCCTATGCGAACCGTGCCGCTCGAGGTGATCTGAGGTGCAACCTCGATCCCTAGGGCGACTCATGATCTTTCCTTAAAAACGCCGCTGCAAAGAAGAGCATGGACACGCCCTGAGGCTATAAAACCCCGCGACGCACCAAAAAAAAGGAGCCGCCCCCATGTCGTTCATCGCCGGGAGCTTCGTGTCCCTGAAGCGCGCCGAGTCCCTGAAGAAGGGCTTCGGCGGCAAGGCCCAGGTCGCGTCGGGAGTGGACACGGAGCTCATCAACATGTCGCCGCGCTTCGAGAAGGAGATCGGCGCCGACGTCGCCGCCGCCGGGCCCGAGCACTACTACGGCAGCGACCAGTCGTCCTTCTACAGCGTCTACCGCGAGCTCACGCGGGCCAAGTGCTACAGCCTGCCCGCGAACGTGCCGGGCAGCCCCGGGAAGCTGTCGCCGACCAAAAGCAACGCGAGCCCGACCTACAAGCCGTCGCGCACGGCCCAGTTCGAGGACGTGCTCGCCGGCGACGAGGTCGAGGCGCGGTACCGGGACCTCCACGAGCTCGAGGCGACGGAGGAGGACGGCGCGAGTTTGGACGAGTCCGACCCGTTCGGACGGCACGCGGCCGTCGAGGAGGACAAGTACGACCACCCCCAGGCCATCGGCGACGAGGCGGCGGCCGAGAAGCATCCGCTCCGGCGGCGCATCGACGGGCTCCACCTGCCGCGGCTCCAGGTCGCGGACGCGGCCGACGGCCCGCAGTTCTCCGCGCGGAGCCTCTTCCTGGCCGAGTGCGTCGACAAGGACCTGCAGCCCCGCGCGGGGTTCCTGCTGCGCAAGATGCGGTCCACGGAGATCAACATGGCCCAGCTCGGCGTCGGCGAGCGCCTCGCGCGCGCGTTCGCGTGCTGCGTGGGGAAATTGCCGAACCTGCTCCACCTCGACATGAGCTACAACTACCTCGGCGACCGGACCATGGCCGAGGTCCTCGAGGCGCTGTGTGACGTGCCCCAGCTCCAGTCGCTGAACATCAGCGGCAACGACATCTTCAAGCACTCCGCGCGGAGTTTGGGCCACCTCTTCGCGAACGCGGACCGCGGGGCCGCGAAAGGGTGATGCAACTTCTATTCAACTTGAATGTTCCACACAAAGCATGCGCGCTTCGAGGGCGCTCCGAGAGATGATCGCTCGTCCAAGAATCAGCCGAAACGAGTGGAACGCGGCCGAGATAGAGGAGCCTTCGGGAACGTCGCACCCTTTTCGTCGCCCAGGCCGACTGCGCCATCGAGGAGCTCGAGACCGCGGACTGCCACCTCGACGACGACGACGTCGCCCTCTTCCTCGAGCGCGCGCTGCGGAACCGGAACCTCGTGCTGAGCCGCTGGAACCTGGCGAAGAACTCCATCGGCTCCGCGGTGGACCACGCGCCCGCGGCGTCCGACCGGCCGTCGCTCGCGTCGTGGATCGGCTCCGACGAGTGCACCTGCAAGCGGCTGGACATCTCCTGGAACATGATCCGCGGGAGCGTGGCCGTGGCCCTGGGCAAGGCGCTGTCGACGAACCACTGCGTGACGCACCTGAATTTGGCGTTCAACTCGCTCGCGGAGGAGGGCGTCGTCTTCGGCAACTCGCTGTTGAAGAACCGCGTGCTCAAGGTGCTGGACCTGTCGAACAACGGGCTGGGGCCCAAGGCGGCCTTCGCCATGTCCGTCGCGCTCCTGGGGCGCATGTCGGCGCTCGAGCTGCTCGTCATGGACGGCAACCCCGTGGGCGTCACGGGAGGCCAGGCGCTCCTCCGCGTGCTCACGCGCATGGACCACCGGGCCCACCTGAGCCTGCGGGACTGCTCATTCCACGGCGGCTCCATCGGCGAGCGCTGGATCATCAACGACGACTACACGCTCGACCTCTCCGTGCCCATTTTGTACTGCCTCGCGCGCGACATCTTGCAGGGCGACGCGACGCGGCCCTGCCCGCCCATCGACTGCTGCTACCTCACGCCGCCGGGGGGCGCGTCGCAGCGCATCCGGACGAAGATCGAGTGGACGGGCGCGCGCGCGCGGCCGTCGACGGGCGACGCGTACGACGAGGCGCACTCGCGCGCGCTCGACAACGTCGTCACGCGGCTCGCGTCGCTCGACCGCGACGAGCTGCTCGACTTCTTCCCGCACCGCGACGGCGACGACGTGCCCTTCCTCTACCGGCGGGAGCTCGACGCGTTGCTGGAGCACCTCGGCCTCGTCGAGTACGTGACGGAGCGGACGGCCGACGGGTCGGGCTTCGCGCGGACGCCGCGGCACGCGCTCGCGGACACGCTGCCCCTCGTCGACAACTGGAGCCAGCTCAAGGCGACGGGGCGCTTGGAGATCGGCGAGTTCATGCAGGTCGCGCTCGCGCTCCGCGCCGTCGCGGGCAGGGCAGCACAAGAGAGCGAAATTCCCAACTTCAAAGGCTCCTATCTCGGCCGTTTTCCACTCGTTTCGGCTGATTTTTGGACGAGCGATCATCTCTTGGAACGGTCTCGAAGCGTGGATGTGTTTTTCGTTACGCGTGCGCGCGGAACACTCACGTTTAAGCGACGTTGAATCACTCTTGTGCTGCCCAGGTCGCGGGCCGCACGCGCGACGACGCGGGCGGCCGCTTCGTCGTCTTCGACGAGGCCACGGGCGAGGACTTCGCGCAGACGCTGCCCGAGGCGGGCGTCCTGCGCCTCTGCTTCGCCAAGGCCGTCGTGAAGCTGGGCATGGACGAGCCCATGACGCAGGCGGGCGTCGGGGCGGGAAGAGAGCGCGAGATTCCCAATTTCAAAGGCTCCGATCTCGGCCGTTTTCCCCTCGTTTCGGCTGATTTTTCGACGAGCGATCCTCTCTCGGAACGGTCTCGAAGCGTGGGTGCTTTCTTAAACACGCGCGCGCGCGAAACACTCACGTTGAAGCGACGTTGAATCACTCTTTTCCCGACGCAGGCGGGCGTCGTCGGCTGGGCGACGTCGCTCGGCGCGATCCAGGACGTGCTCCAGGTCGCGGAGGCCGCGGACAACCATTTGCTCGTGCTGCAGATGGCGCTGCCGTCGCTCGTGCTCGGCCACGACACGGCCGCGCGCCTCTTCCCCGCGCTCGTCGCGGAGCTGCTCGACCCCGTCGCGGCGATCGCGAAGCTGCTGCCGCGGATGGCGAGCCCGCTGCACGTGCAGGCCTTCATCCGCGCCATGCTGCCCAAGTCGACGAACCGGAGCCGGCTCCAGCGCGCCATGGGCCAGCGCTTCCAGCTCCTCATCGACATGCCCGCGGGCCACTACACGCTGAGGCTCGACAAGATGGAGGAGCGCGAGGTGCTCGTCGCGCTGCTCCAGGCGAACCGCTTCGAGCGCCACCGCGTCGTGGCGCGGGCCAAGCGGTCCCTGGAGAGCGGCGCCTTCGACGAGAACTGCTTCCACTACCCCTACGTGGACACGTCGCAGCACGGCAACCGGTCGGGCTTCCGCAACGAGACGCTCGACGGCTCGGCCGTGGAGATCTGCGACGAGCTGCTCGACGGGCTGGGCCCGAGCCCCAAGGGCCTGCTCGAGTTCGACTTCGTGAAGATGACGCGGCCGCCGCGGACGGCCGAGCCGATGACGCGCGCGCACTTCTCGCAGCTGTTGTCCGTCGCGGCCATCTCCGACGACGTCGACGACCGCTGCCTCCAGCTCGCCGTCGAGGGCGCGAAGACGCCGCGCGAGGAGAAGCGGCCGCCGCGGCCGCGGCCCGCGCCCTCCGACGGCCGCCGGCGGTCGTCCGCGGCGCAGCGCGCGAGCCGCATCTCGAAGATGGGCCTCGGCCTCGGCGCGGCCTTCGTCGAGCGCACCGTCGACATGGTCGTCGTCGGCGGCGACGCGCCCAAGGAGGACGCCGCGGACCGGGCCATGCGGTCCACGCGCATGTCCAAGGTCGCGCGCCAGCCCGCGAGGCCGCCCGGCGGCGAGGCCGCGGAGGACGACGGCGACAAGGCGGCCCAGGACTCGCTCATGGAGGCGCAGCAGAAACTAGCCCAGGCCATGCCCGACGTCGGCAAGGGCGGCGCGGCCGGGGGCGACCACCGCCGGTCCACGTACAAGCCGCGCATGCAGTCGATCAACGCCGTGTCGCAGGACACGGCCGAGCGGTTCAAGTCCTGGTTCAAGGGCGAGGAGGGCGGCGTCGAGGCCGCGCGCGAGGAGCAGCGCGCGCGGCACCGCCTGAACCGCGGCGGGTCGCCGTCGCCGCCGTCGTACGGCCGGCGGCCGCAGTTCCCGGACGACGGCGCGGCGCCGGCGGCCGGCGGCGCCGGCGGGTCGCCGGGCCAGCGCCGCGCGGCGGCGCGCGACGGCACCATCGCGCGCGGCGGCGAGCGCAACCCCCTCGAGATGCTCAAGCGGCGCAAGCCCGCGACGCCCGACACCGACGAGCCGACGCCCGACGGCACGCCGTCGGCGACGCCCAAGGCGACGACGCGGTCCGTCGGGAAGAAGCCCGCGAGCCCGGCCCTCGGCGGCGGCTCGGAGATGCTGCGGGCGTCGTCCAAGTCCGGCAAGTCGAAGCTGAACAAGCTCAAGACCATCGCGCGGATGATGATCTCGGGCGCGGGCGCGGCGAAATCCGCGGCGGACACGGAGCTGATCCTGGCGCGCCTCAACGAGTTCCACCTGCTCCTGGCGGGCTGCTGGTTCTCCGCGGCCCAGGCCTGCACGCTCCTGCGGCGCTGGCAGCTCTTCGACGGCCCGAAGCTCCGGAACCGCGATGTGCTGAAGCTGCTGCGGCCCCAGGTCGAGCTGGTCATCATGCTCCACAGCCGCGTCGTCGATTTGTACAACATCGACGAGGTCTTCGCGGTGCTGGACCCGACGATGCGCGCCGAGGCCATCTTCCGCCTGGGCACGCTGAACATCTGGTCGCCGCTGAAGCCCGACGGGCCCTACTCGCTCAACCTGGGGCTCCGCGAGGACCGCCAGGTCGTGCGCATGCTCGTGCACCTCCACGAGGCGGAGCAGGCCGTCTGGCGGAACCCGACGCTGCGCTGGAAGCTCGACATGCCCCGCGTCGAGGGCTGGAGCCTGCCGACGACGTGGCTCAACCAGGACGGCATCCCCCGGAGCGGCCACGTCGCCTTCACCTACGACCCCCAGCACGAGGACTGGTCCACGCGCATCGTCCTCGCGGCCCTAACCCTCGCCGGCGTCGACGAGGACGACGACGACCTGTTGTCGGAGATGCCCCAGAGCGAGCCCCTCGAGGCCATGCTCGCGGCGAGCCTCGACGCCGCCCACATCAAGTGGGTCTACGACGGCATCACCGTCGCCGACCCCGTCCCGCGGCGGCCCAAGGACCTCCCCGGCGGCCGCGACTCGCTCATCCAGGCCAAGTCGCGGTCCGCGACGCCCGAGGCGTAACTGAGGGCATCGTGAAGGCGCGGTGCGGTGATGAAACTCCTCGTCGTAACGAGACGCCACCCGTGATCATGGGCAGCAAGAGTGCGCCAGCCCGCGCCTAGACGCCGGGGCAGCTCCGCGGACCATGGGCGGCGCGGCCTCGGCGCCGACGTCGCCGTCGTCGGCGAAGGCGGCGTCGAGCGAGCAGGCGTCGGCGCGCGCCCTGCTTCGCCAGCTCTCCTTCAAGGTGTCGGGCAACACGCTCGCCGGCACGCGCAAGGACCTGGACGAGTGCAACGTCGAGGACGTGGCGCGCTTCGTCGAGAACGTCGACCCCGCCGAGGCGTCCGAGGCCGTGGGCTTCGGCTCCAAGGCCGAGGCCCCGGGCCTCGACGCCGTCGCGGCCGCGTGCCGGTTCCAGCTCGTCGACGGGCGGCGCGTGCGCCGGTCCCTCGACGACGAGGCGCCGAGCGTCGCCCCCCTGCTCGCGGAGCTCAACGTCCACGCGCCGCCGCCGACGGTCAAAGCCATCGTCGCGGCCTTCGACGCGTGGCAAAAGCTGCCCCGGGCCGCGGACAGGCGGCGCGCGAAGAAGCTCCGCGCGCTCATCATGGGCTCGCCGGCCCTCGTCCGCCAGGCCAACGCCCTGCAGATGGAGCTGAACGCGTTGCCCGAGGGCGACCGCGAGGCGCTTTTGGAGCTCCGGCGCAAGAAGATGCGCGAGCAGGCGGCCCGGGCCGTCGAGACCTACGCGAACCTGCCCCACGACGAGAAGAACGTCTTCACGGACGGCGCCATCGAGCTCTACAGCGAGGAGAATCAGCGGAAGCGCGAGGCCATCCGCGAGGAGCCGAGGATCTGCGAGCTGCTCGAGCCAGGGTCCCGCGGCCGAGACGATTTTCGAGAGATTTTGACCGGGAAAACGACGAGAAATCGTCACCGACGCATTTGGTAGGCTCGAGCGCTGGTGGTGGGGGTCGAAGCTCTTCGACGACGCGGACCACAACGAGTGGCTCTCCTTCGACGAGTACAAGACCTTCCACCGGCGGCTCCTGCGCCTCTTGGACCAGGACACGCTGTCGCCCAAGTCGCGCGTCGCGACGAAACCCGAGGACGAGGACCCGACGGCGTTGGAAGATTTCCGGTGCGACGCGGACGGCGAGGGCCGCGTGACGAAGGAGACGTACCTCTTCGCGGTCTTCCAGCTCTGCGACCAGTGGACGGAGACCGTGGAACTGGACGAGTACGTGGAATTCCTGTCCAAGGGCTTCGACCTCATCTACGGGGATCTCATGGCCGGCGACGCGCCGCAGCTCCCCGAGGCGTGGTCGGGCGGCGACGAGCTCCACGACGACCGCGGCGAGCCGCTGCTCCAGACGCCCGCCGCCGCCTGGGGGTCGTCGGACCTGAGCGTCCTCGAGGAGGCCGAGGTCGTGCCCTTCAAGCCGCCGCCCCGCGAGCCGCGGGCGCCGTCGGCGCCCGAGCCGGCGCCGCTGGCGGACGTCTTCGCCGCGACGGCGCCGGTGCCCGCGCCGACGGAGCCCGCGGCGCCGGCGCCCGCGGCGCCGGCGCCGGCGAAGGAGGACGAGGTCCTCGAGGCCGAGGCCGCGGCGCCCCCGGAGAAGGCCAAACGCGAGCCGAAGCGGAAGTCGCGCGCGGCCGCCAAGAGCCCGGGGACACACGACCGCGACGACGGCGTCGCGGGCCGCGTCGCGCTCATCGACGACGCGGGCTTCGACACCGTCGATGCCATGATGGACGCGGCCAGGGACGCGCAGGACGCCGGCGCCGTCGGCGTCGTCTTCGCGTCGGGCGACGACGCGCCGCCCCTGCTCTCCGGCGGCTCCGAGAAGCAGAAGGTCGCGATCCCCGTCGTCGGCATCTCGGCGCCCGACGCGGCGGTCTTCAAGGGCAAGAAGCGGCACCGCCTGCGCGTCCGCGCGTCGCGATTGCTGGAGCACGCGAAGACGATCACCTCCATGCGCATCCACATGGTCGTCGAGACCATCGCGGAGATCTACCGGGAGAAGATGGTCCTCGACGGCAAGGCCGACGCGTCGGGCCGGCCGCGGCTGCCCCTGGCGACCTTCGTCCTGATGCACTTCCGCCGCAAGTTCGGCGACAAGCGGACGGTCAAGAAGAAGTACAAGGCCTTCCTGCTGGGCGTCGTCCAGCGCCTGGAGGGCACGGCGTCGACGCACGGCGTCGAGGAGGACGAGACGGCGCTCCAGTGGATCACGCTCTTCGCGCAGCTCTGCTCCATCGACACGGCGTCCGGGCGCCTCGCGGCGCTCCCGCCCGAGGCCTGCGACTACTGCCTCGACCGCGTCCACGAGATCGAGCAGGTCGTCCGCGACACGCTCAAGGTGCTGCCCCACGAGTTCTCGTCGACGATGCTCAAGAAGATGGTCAGCGGTCGCAACGCGTTCCTGTTGGGCTGCGGCTTCGCGGACAAGGTCGAGGCCAAGTTCAAGCGCGAGCTCCGCGGCCACATGAAGCTCCGGCCGCGCGACGACGTCTACGCGACGGCCGTCGGCACGTTCCACTCGCTCACCATCGCCGTCACCATCAACGGCGCGCACAAGAAGATCATCTCCGTCCCCGCGCTCATGTCGCTCTACGCCGTCGTCTACACGGCCTGCGACTCGCCCCACGTCGCCCGCGCGCCGCCGCCGGAGTCGACGGGGGACCAGGCGCACGAGCGCAAGAAGAGCCGCGCGTCGACGGTGAAGCCCATGTATTAGGACGAGCAGCGTCGGTTTTTTGTAGGGCGCGCCGGGTCAGCCAGACCTGCCAGCGTCCGTTTCTTCCTGAAGTGGAGGTCTAGATAGCGCGAATCTCCTTACGCGGCGACCTCGGCTTTGGCGAGCGCATTATGATTGACGCACCGATGTCCGCACGGCCTTCAGCGATTCGATGACGTCCCAGCGGCCCGACCACCCTTCCGGGAGGACGACGGTGTCGCCCGCGAGGCAGCGGATCGCCGAGCCGTCGACGTTGGTCACGAAGGCCGCGCCCTCGAGGACGAAGAGGACCTCCGTCGGCGAGTCGGCCACCTCCGTCGAGCCCGGGGCCGCGGTGTAGACGTCGACGGTCGTGAGGCCGTTGCCGTAGACCTTGCCGCCGCTCGACGCCGCCGGCGTCATAACAACAGGAATGGTCGACGCGCCGGGGACGGCGTCGTGGGTGTGGACGGACCAGACCTTGCGGATGTGCGCGTGGACGTCCCAGCGGCCCCGGCAGCCCTGCGGCAGCACGACGACGTCGCCCGCGCCGAAGCGATGGCGCGTGCCGTCCTCGTCGACGACGGACCCCTCGCCCTCGAGCACGTAGAAGGTCTCCGTCGACGTGCGCGGGTTCGGGCTCGGCCAGCCGCCCGCCGTGCAACTCCACGCGCCCGCGGCGACGGCCCCGACCTTGACCAGCGGGCGCGTCGCGTCGACGGGCTCGCCGACGTCGCAGTTGGCCCGCACGCCCTTGACGGCGAGCTTGTCCTGGAGGAAGTAGGACGGCGGCGCGTGCGTCACCCAGCGGCTGCTGCCGATGACGGCGCGGCGGTCCGCGTCGACGGCGACGGGCGGCGCGGCGACGGATGGCGCCGTCTCCGGCGCGGCGGGGGCGAGGCGAACGCCGTTCTCGAGGTACGAGAACTGCTGCAGCGCCGACGTGGCCGCGGCGAGGGCGACGCAGCAGAGCTTGAGCATGGTTGCTCGGAGCATACGTAGGACTCTCCACTGCGAGTTCAACCCGGCGGCACCGAGGGCAAACGTCTCCAAGTTGCTGCCCGTACACTAAAAGCTTCGTCGATGGGCACTGCCAGGATGCCTCCACCCTAGCGCGCAGGAAGGAGATGTGGTTCCTCAAGTACGTGGGCGGCGAGTCGTCCGCGCCTTCGGCGGAGGAGTCGCCCGACGAGGTCGAGCTCGACCAGGCGGCGGCGCCGGCGGCCCGACGAGCCGCGCCGAAGAAGAAGAAGAAGAAGAAGCCCGCCGAGGGCAAGAGAGCGCCGAAGAAGGCGCAGCTGTCGCCGCAGCAGCGGCAGCTCCGGGAGTCGGCGCGCTGCATGGCCTGCGGCCGCGTCGTGTCGCCGGCGACCCTCGAAGGCTTCGAGGACCACGAGAACTACTGCGAGAAGTCGTCGGAGTCGTGGCGCCGCGCGGCGGAGACGAACGCGAGGACGCCCGCGGCCCTCGTCGACCGGCACATCGCCCTCGTCGGCGGGCTCACGGCGACCGTCGTCGCGCTGAAGCCGCGCCTCGTGCGCCGGTGGCTGCCGCCGCGCCACGAGCTCCTCTTCGACAGCGGCCGCCGCGACGACGTCGTCCTCGCCGCGGGCGACGGCGGCGGGGCGGCCTTCCGGTTCCTGAGCCCGGCCGAGGCCGCCGAGGCGTCGAAGCTCACGGCCGCGCGGCTCTCGCGCGAGCTCGCGGACGCGCGGCGGCGCGTCGCGTCGCTCCAGAAGACGGAGAAGACGCGGGCGGCCGAGGCCGTCCGCATGACGCGGACCCTCGAGGACCAGACTCTGTGCGCCGTGTGCCTCGACGCTACAAAAAACGCGGCCTTCGTGCCCTGCGGCCACCGCGCGTGCCGGGCCTGCGCGGACCGGTGCCGGGCGGGCGACGCGGGCTGCCCCGTCTGCCGCGCGCCCGTGGTGGACGTCATCCGCGTCTTTAACTAGCGGTGGAGCTTGCCGGGCAGCCACGCGCCCGCGCGGTCCGCGGGGAACGCGCGCTCGTAGAGCAACGCGAGGACGCGACTCTGCCAGGTGAGGAGCGCGAGCTCGCTGGACTCGTCGGGCGTGTCGCCGCACTCGGCCTCGAGCTGCGCGTCGTCGAGCTGCTCGTTGAGGTCCAACAAACGCCGCCGGAGCACGCGCTGGAGCGCCGTGGACTCGTCCGCGCGCTCCGCGCAGCGCCGCCGCTCGCCCAGCAGGTTGCGCTGGAGGTGCTCGAGCCCCGTCTCCAGGCGCTTGATCTCGTCGAGGCGCTTCTTGCGGTGCTCCGCGGTCACGTCGACCTTGAGGTTCGACGACGCGACGCGCTTCACGCCGCCCGCGCGGTCCCCCGGCCCGCGCGCGCGCGCGTCGTCGAGGCGGTCGTCGAGCGCCTGCGCCGCCTGGTGGCAGCGCGCCGTGTCCTTCTTGATCTGCGCGAGCTGGTGGATGAGGTAGCGCCGGTCGTCCTCGCCCGTCTTGAACCGGTCCCGGAGCTCGTCGTTCTGCGCGACCAAATCCTCGTTGAGCGTCGTCAGCTTCGCGCACAAATTCGCGGCCCAGAGCCGCTCCTTGTCGAGCGCGTCCGCGCGCTGCTTCCACTTGCGCATGCCCGCCTCCTTGTGGCGTCTTACGCCTGAGAGAGATTCGACATCGCTTCAACGTGCGTGTGCCGCGCGCGCGCGTTTCGGAACAAGCATCCACGCGTCGAGACCGTTCCAAGAGATGATCGCTCGTCCAAAAATCAGCCAAAACGAGTGGACAACGGCCGAGATTGGGCATTTCGCGCTCTTTTCCCGCCCCGACGCGCGCCGTCGAGCTCCTTGGACCAGTCGAGGAGCCGCGCGCGGTGGCTCCGCGTCAGGTCCCGGTGCCGCTCGGCGCGGATGGCCTCGGACCGGCCCTCGAGCTCCTCGAGGGACCCGACGATGTCGCGGTGCGTGCCCGCGACGGGCAGCATCGGGTCGACGGCGTCGTCCTCCTTCTCGCGCCAGCGGCTGCTGTGGAAGTCGAGGATGGCGTCCTCGAGCTCCGTGATCCGCTTCATGTAGCCCTCCTCGCGCTGCTTGTAGGTCCGCGTGCGCCGCTCCCAGTCGCTCCGCAGCACCTCCAGATGCTGGCGCTCGGCCTGGGCCGCCGACGTCGTCGCCAGGCGCTGGCGGAGGTGCACCGTCTTCTCGCGGATGCGCTTCGCGATGTTCGGGTCCATGATCCCCGTCACGCGCGCCTCCTCCGCCGGGGGCGTCCCTAGCCGCGCGTGCTGGACGACGGAGCGCATCGTGGTGGGCAGCGCTGGGGGGTTGGATACGATGTTGAGTGCAACGAGAGTAGAGGCTCGCCGCCGAGCCCGTTGTGCCACAGGCCGGAGGCAAAAGCTTATGGTTCTGCGCGTATCGGGAGTGCGCGCGCGACGCGTGGCGCACGCCGACGGCCGGAGACGATTGCAGCAGCATCGCTACGACGTGCGCGACGCGCGACGCGATTGGGGCGACCCCGTTCGACCAGGGGGCGGCGCGCGACGACTTGCAGGACGGCGACGCCATGAAGAGCACGCCGTCGAGCGCTGGCGCCGCGACCGCCGCGCGGCACCGCTTCGACACCTTCTCCAGCGTCCGCGGGACCGAGATGCCCCCCGCTCGGGGACACGGGGCGCCCCCGCGAGCGCCACTTCATTTTTTGGCAAAGAAACGAATGCTCGCACCCACATGACCTGGAAACGAATGCTCGCACCGAGAGAGGTCCCGCGCGCGCTGCGATCCAGGCGCGCAGGCCGCGCCGGCTCGAGCCATCGTGCTCGCCGGTGCGCCGGTTCGCGCACCTTGGCCTCTGGTCGAGTGCTGCGCATGCGCGCACTGCATGGCGATGCAGTGCGCATGCGCGCGGTCAGCGGACGCGCAAGCGATGCCTCGCCTGGCTCAACGGTACACGCCCCGAGGAGGCTCTCCTCTGCGTTTTCCCTCGTGAGAGGTCTTTTCCGCGCGGTTTCTCGAAAAAGAGTTTCCGCAAATCTACGCGCGTCGTCACTCCACGACGCGCAAGCTCACGTCGCCTGCCCTGAGGTTGGCCTTCGGGTCTGGGCAGAGTGCGCGACGTCCCGAGAGGCTCCGGGCGTTGGGCTCCCCGCCGGACTGGGGCCAGCAGCCCCGCCTGCTGCCCTGGCCGCGAAACCCCGTTCGGTCGACCGAGCGAGAGGACGCGGCAGGTCCGGAGGCTTCCCCGGCGTCAGACGGCCACGAGGCAGCGAGAGCGCTGGACCAGCGCGCTCTTTGGGGTTCCTCACCCCGGACGCGACGCGCCTAGGCGCTCCTCCCAGCGAGAGTCCGGTTCCCCCGTGGGTCTCGGCTAGGCCCGGGCTAGCAGTAAGCGACTCCAGGCCAGCCCTGCCCGGTGCCCAGCACCGCCGCCGCGCACCGATGTCGAGCTCCTCGTCGGACTCCGACGACGTCCCGCTGTCGTCGCTGGGGAAGCAGAAGGTGTCGGCGCCCAAGCTCGCGGCGCCCAAGGCGCCCAAGGCGAAGGCGCCCGCGCCGGCGAAGCGCAAGGCGCCCCCCAAGGCCGCGAGCGACGGCGAGGCGGAGTTCGACGTCGACGCCGCGCCGCCGCCGAAGAAGGCCAAGGCGCCCCCCAAGGGCCCGCCGGCCGGCGACCGGAACAACGCGGGCTCGAGCAGCGACTCGTCCGACGACGACGTGCCGCTCGCGTCGCTCGTCCAGGCCAAGCCCGCGGCCCGGAAGCCCGCGGCCCGGGCCCCGCCGAAGAAGGCCCCGCCGAAGAAGAAGGCGCCGCCGCCGCCGAGCTCCAGCGACGACGACGCCGACGACGAGAGCTCCGGCGACGGCGGCTCCGACAGCGACAGCGACGACAGCGACGTCCCGCTCTCGGCTTTATCCAAGAAGCGGAAGCCCGCGGCCAAGGCCGCGCCGCGGGCCAAGAAGGCGGGCCGCCGCACGTCCACGAAGCCGCAGAAGCGCAAGGGCGGCCTCGCGGAGGCCGCGTTCTACGAGACGAGCCGCGGCATGGTGCTCCAGCAGCTCCTCCGGCGGTGGTGGTACGTCGTCGACTGGCCCTCAAAGGAGGCCAAGGCCACGCCCGTCAAGGACCCGGAGTGCTGGGAGAAGATGGACGGCATGCCCGGCGTCCACCTCTGCTGGAAGGGCGACGACGTCGGCAAGGTCGTCGACCACCGCGACCACTCGGTCAGCCCGTGCTTCAAGAACTACTACAAGAAGCCCACGGCGGAGCTCCGGGACCTCGTCCTCAAGGCCTGCGCCATCCAGATGGCCCAGCTCCTCGAGGCGGAGCCGGGCAACGAGCGCTTCATCCGCGAGCTGAAGAAGGTCATCGCCGACGTCACGCGCGTCAACCCGGCCAAGGCCGACGTCGAGGCGGCCAAGGCCGTCAAGCAGTACGACGCCCACCCCCACAAGTGCGGCTAGGGCCCCCCGGGGGGGGAACCCGCCGTCGTAACAAGCGCGCCGCGCGACTACGACGTTAGGCCGGGTCCGCGAAGGCGCCGACGGCGCAGTCCTCGTCGCCGGGCTTCGCGGGGACGCAGTAGTTGTCGCAGTGGCGGCCGAGCTTCGACTTGCGCGCGCAGATGTGGCAGCAGAGCGCGGCGAGGATGCCGAGTCCGTGGTCCCCGAGGGCGAGCAGCTCCACGGGCGAGTCGCGGTCGACGGACTCGTCGCTGAACGGGTGCGACTCGTAGTCGCCGGCCTTGGACGGGTCGACGCGGACGCCGGCCCGCTTCCCCCGCCGGTTGTAGGGGTACTCGGTCTCGCCCCGCTTCAGGTAGCAGCAGGACCCGTCCCGGAGGTCGTCGCCGACGGACAGCATCCGCTTCGCGCCGTAGCCCTCGAGCTCGCGCCGCACCCAGCCGCCGCCCGCGCGGCTCGTCTCGCCGAAGAGGTTCCGGTGCCAGAAGTCGCGCTTCGGCGCGTAGTCGTCCTTGAGCCCGTAGCGGTCGCGCCGGAGCGCCGCCGCGCGCCGCTCGAGGTCCGCGAAGAGCTCGTCGCCGGGGTCCTCGGGCAGGTTGTGGCCGTAGGACGGCGCGTCGAAGGCCGCGCGGAGCGGCTCGAAGTCCTGGGACCGCGGCACCGCGTTGAGCCGGTGCGGCGTCACGACGGACAGCTTCTTCGCGTCCGCCTTCGTCCGTTTCAGCGGCGCGTACAACTTGTGGCGGTGGCGCGCGCGCACGTGGACGACCTGGTCCGCCTCCGTGTAGTGGACGTAGGCGAGCTGGTCCCAGAGCGGCGTCGTCTCGTTCGTCCACCGCCGCTGGATCGCGCGGACCGTCGCGACGCCGAGGAACGACGGCTTGTTCACGGGCAGGTGGTCCGGGTCGACCCAGAGGACGTCGTCGATGACGGGCAGGCCCTCGCCCCGCTCGAGGTACGCGCGGTCGCCCGGGTGGAGCGCGGAGACGGCGACGGCGCCGAAGTGGCACCGCACGGATCGGATCGTGATGTTGAGGTAGAGCGCCTTGGACTCGTAGCGCGTGTGGCCGCTGCCCGCGCCGTGGAGCGAGTCCTTGTCCGCCTCGCCCGACGCGTCGGCGTGGCCCGCGGCGTAGAGCGGCATGACGCCGACCGTTTTCAGTGCGTCCGTGTCGCGGGCTTGACTCCGCAGCGCCGGGTCGTCGCCGCCGCACTTCTCCTTGAGGCGCTTCTCGTAGGCGGCGAGGCGGTCGACGAAGGCGCCGTAGACGGCGTCGCCGATGGCCGACGCCTTGTCCGCGCCCGTCTTCTGCGAGTGGATCATGCGCTCGTACCTGTGGTCGCATGCGATCACATCGAAGTCGGGTTGAAGATGCGATTCGAACGCGGGCTCGCGCATGCTCAGGTGCTCGACGGCGTAGTCCAGGGCGTCGACGGTGCGCCAGACGTCGTAGGCGCCGCCGGAGCCCATGCTGTGGTAGGACGCCGTCTCCATGTTCGTGTTTTTGCGGCGCATCTTCTGGGGCGTCACCGGGTTGTCGAGGAGCTGCGCCTTGGACGCGAGGAACGACGCGCTGTACGACGGGCACGGGCTGCCCACGGTGCAGTGGAACATGCCGTGGTAGCGCGCGTAGGTCGCGGCGCTGCCCGGCGGCGCGTCGCCGAAGGCCGGGGCCGCGGGCGTGGGGCGCGGCGACGGCCGCGGGCTGCTCCGCGCCTTCTTGGCCCAGGGCAGCCCCGCGCCGACCTTGATCCGCCGCGGCTTCTTCTTGAGCGCGCGCTCGAGGTGCGCCTCGTCGCGCACGAGGAGCTGGCGGCCCGTGCGGTTCTCCGCACACGTCTGGAGCACCAGCAGCAGCCAGCCCGCGAGCGCCGCGCGACGACGCATCGTAATGACGGCGACACGGCCGAGGCGGCACGGTTGGCCTGATGAAGACATCCCGACCCCCGGCGAGCCCAATCCTAACCCTTGCCGTCCTTGCCGTCGGCGAGCGAAATCGCCCCCCCGGCCTCGTCGATTGTCTCGCTCAAAGGTGCGATGCCCACCCTCTCCAGCCCCAGACGACGCGCGGCGATGACACGATGCGGCGGCGCGGCGGTGACTTGGCGTTGACGGCGACTGTTGACGCGCGCATGCCGAAATTTCGGGCCGGATCGCGTCGGAGAGCGCTCTCCGCCGCGGTGTCGCCCGACGACGGCCTGCGCGGTCGGCAGCTCGCGGACGGGACCGCCGCGCGGCGTGCGGACCCCGGCCTTACGGCCGCGGACGTCGTGCGGCGCCGTTTGCGTCGTTGTTGTTCCCCCGGCCGCGGGGCACGGCGCGTCGCGGTCCGCCGGCCTTGGCCCCGGGCCCGGCCGCCGCCGCCGCCGCCGCCCAGCCGGTCGCCGTCGACGCCGCCCCCCCGCCCCCCGCCCTCCCCCGATCCGCCCCCGCGCACGCGCCTCACCCGCTCGACGCTGTAGGTCTCGGAACCATGGGCGCGTACAAGTACCTCGAGGAGATGTGGAAGCGGAAGCAGTGCGACGTGCTGCGCTACCTCATGCGCATCCGCGCGTGGCAGTACCGCCAGCAGACCAAGGTCTGCCGGTGCACGCGCCCGACGCGCCACGACAAGGCGCACAAGCTCGGCTACAAGGCCAAGGAGGGCTACGTCATCTACCGGAGCGCCGTGCGCCGCGGCGGCCGCAAGCGCCCCAACGGCAAGGGCATCGTCTACGGCAAGCCCAAGCACCAGGGCATCAACCAGCTCAAGTTCGCGCGGAACCTCCAGTCCGTCGCCGAGGAGCGCGTCGGCAAGAAGTGCGGCAACCTCCGCGTGCTCAACTCGTACTGGGTCAACCAGGACGCGACGTACAAGTACTACGAGGTCATCGCCGTCGACCCGAGCCACGCGGTCATCCGCAACGACCCGCGCATCAACTGGATCGTGAACCCGACGCACAAGCACCGCGAGTGCCGCGGCCTCACGTCCGCGGGGCGCAAGAGCCGCGGCCTCCGCAAGCAGGGCCACCGCGCCAACAACATCATCGGCTCCTCCCGCCGCGCGGCCTGGAAGCGCCGCAACAACCTCTCCCTCCGCCGCTACCGCTAGACGCCCGGCGGCGGATCCGGCGGGCGGCCCGCCGCCCGCCGGCGCGGCGCGCGCGGCTTGTCCGCGCGCGGCGCGCGGTCCCCTCCTTTATTCTCGCACAACCAGCCCGCTCTCTCGGGGGTCGCGGGGATCGCCGGTCTTCCGGCGCCTGGTTCGACGTCCGGTCGCGCCGGGATGCGATCGTCCGAGTCGGGTCGTTTGGTGGCATCAGCTTGAAGGTTGACATAGACCGACTCAGCGTTGTTACTCGTCGTCTCGTCGCCACGCGAACAGGTCCGACGCCAGGTCGATGGTCGCGTGGCCCTCGTCCGTGAAGTAGAGGGACCCGTCGCGGAGCGGTGTCCAGCCCGCGCCGAACTCGCCGAGGAGGAGCTCCGGCGGGCAGACGCGGGACAGGCTCACGACCGTCGCGCCCGGCCTGCAGACGCGGCCGAGCTCCGCGACGGCGCCCCGCAGCGCCGCCTCGGACGTGATGTAGAGCACGTCGAGCGTGCCCTTGTCCAGGACGACGTCGAAGGCGCCGTCGTCGAAGGGCAGGCTCCGGAAATCCGCCTCGACGATCTCGACGCAGCGCCGGCCGAAGAGCGCGGACGCGCGCGCGACGGCTTCGCCCGAGTAGTCGAAGAGCGACAGGTCCTCGTAGCCCGCGTCGAAGAGGTCGACGTTGCCGCGGTCGTTGCCGCAGCCGGGCACGAGGACGCGTCGTCGTTTCGACGGCGGGCCCGCGAGCTCGGCGAAGAAGGGCTCGAGCTCGCGCCAGCCGCAGAACCAGCTGTACTCGTCGCCGTCGAGCTCGCCGTCGCCCCGGTACATCTCCTCCCAGTAGCTCCTCTCGCCGAAGCGGCAGACGGGCGTCGGCGGCGCCTCCGCGGGCGGCCACTGCGCGGCGAGGGTCGACCGGTGCGCGAAACGCGGCGCTCTTCTATGATGCGACCAGGCAACGGCGCGACCGATGATGAGCGCGCTGAGGCGCAGGGCGAACGCTGAGCAGGGCGACGCCCATGCGACCCCGCTGAGGCGCAGGGCGACGCCCATGCTGCGCTCGCGCCGTCCTTGCACAGCAAAAAGCCGTCGCTGAATTGCCACACACACGATGCGCGCGATGCGCGCCGCGTGGCTGCTATTGCTCGCAACCACCCGCGCCGCCGTGGTCCAGGAGCTCAAGTTCGTCGCCGACGCGAAGCAGCTGGAGGCCGCCGCGGGCGGCGTCGTCGTCGTGGGCCTCTTCGGCGCCGGCGACGGTGCGGAGAAGCGGGGCTTCATGCACGCGGCGAAGAGCGCCGAGTTCCAGGACGAGGGCTGGGCCGTCGCCTGGTCCGGCGAACCCAAGATCGTCGACTACTTCGGGTTTTCGACGCCGTCCATGGTCGTCTACCGCGTCTTCGACGTCGACGGCACGCGGTGCGCGCCGACGCCCGAGCCCTACAACGCGACGATGGGCGGCGGCTGGACCTACCGCGGCCTCAAGTCCTTCATCTTCGCCGTGTCCTTCCCGCCCGTGTCGCTCTTCCCCGTGCCGCCGCCGCCCAAGGCGCTCGCGGAGCCCCTCGACGACGCCAAAGTCGACGAGGACGCCTACGACGACCTCGAGGAGCGGCGCGTCGCGGAGCTCGAGGCGTTCCTGGTGCTGCGCAGGGCGGAGAACCAGCGCCTCACGGCGGCGCTGAAGCAGACCACGGTGCCGAAGCTCGTGGTCTACGTGCACGACGAGCGCTACTTCGACGTCCACGAGGACGAGCGCGCGGCGCTCCTCTCGTTCGCCAAGCACTCCCTGGGCCGCGTCGTCGTCGTGAAGATGACGCTCGACGACAACCCGCTGGCCGAGCCCATCGCGGCCATGGGCGGCTTCACCATGGACGAGATCCGCGAGGGCGCGGGCGGCCTCCGGCCGACGGGCATCTTCCTGGGCTCCGAGGGCACGATGCCCTTCGACGGCCTCTACGTCGAGGAGGCGCTCCACTGGGCGCTCAACGACTTCTTCGAGCAGGGCGCGGGCGGGTCCGACGCCAAGTGGGAGCCCAAGCCCAAGAAGAAGAAGCGCAAGAAGAAGCGCGCCGCGGAGCTGCGGTGACGGCGCGTGCCTCCCGCCGCGGGTAACAATTTTGGACGGGGACTGACCTATCCCGCCGCCGGCGGGTATGAATAGACCCCGAATTCAACTTCGATAAGTGAACTTAACCTTGAATGTTCAAAAACGAGGCAGCCCAAGGAGGCAAATGCTGCGACCAGCGCCCGCTCGCAGCGCTCGGCGAGCGATGCGCGCGCTGCTCTGGTCCGCATCGCTCGCGCGGGCGACCGACACGTGCGTCCAGAACCGGCCGGAGCTGCTGGCCCGCGCGTCGCTCTACTATTGCCCGAACGACGCGTTCCTGGCGCTCGCGCAGCGCGAGTTCCCGTGCGCGACGACCTTCCTGGACGTCGGCGCCAACAAGGGCTACACGGCCGTCGAGATGCTGGCCTACTGGGCGCCCGGCTCCGTGACGCCGCCCGTCCGCCAGCGTCGTGATGACGCGCTCGGTGAAGGACTGCGACGCGTCGTTTTCGTACCACGCGACCGTGTCGTCGATGTAGGCACGCGTGGTGGCGGGCGCACGTCGACGACGCCGCGCTCCCGGCGTGGTCCGACGAGTTCCGCAAGGGCCGCAACATCGGCTACCAGTGCGGGTCCTGCCACGAATGCCTCGACCGCCCGGCGCCCAGGGGCACCTGCGAACGCGGCGGCAAGGTCAACGTCCACTCCTTCGACGGCTCGCCGGCGCTCGCGGCCGTCGCGAAAAGGGTCTGGAGCGAGCGCTTCGAGGCCTCGTCCGAGGCGTCGTGGCGCTACACCGTCGCCGCCGTCGCCGAGCGCGGCGGCGGCACGGTGCGCTTCTCGAATTCGTCCGAGGAGCAGGGCGCGATTTCGAGGGACGCGGGCGGCGTCGAGGTGCCCGCGACGACCGTCGACGACTACGCGAGAACCAACAACCTCGCCGTCGACGTGCTCAAGATCGACACGGAGGGCAACGACGGCCTCGTGCTCCTGGGCGCCGCGGAGACGCTGCGATCGCCGAGCCTCAAGCTCGTCTACTTCGAGTACGCGGTCGCGCCGACGTGGTTCGAGCGCCGCGGCGTCTTCGCGGCCGCGCTCGCCGCGCTCGAGGCCGCGAGCTTCGTCTGCTTCTTTGGCGGCCACCTGCCGCGCACGGTGCGCATCACGGGCTGCGCCGACGAGCGCTGGGACATCTTCAACCCGCGGTCGCTGCTGCGCCTCGTCGCCTCCTGCGCGAACGCGAACGTTTTTTGCGCGTCGACCGCGGCGCGGGACACGGGGCGATGCGACGTCGCTTCAACATGGGTGCGCCGCGCGCGATCGTTCCAAGGACTCGCGCGTCGAGAGCGCTCCGAGAGCTCCTCGCCCGTCCAAAAAGTCGTGGACACTGACCGAGCTCGGGAGCCTTTAAAAACTTTCGGGCGCGTCGCGCCCGTTTCCCGCGCAGGTCGAACGACAACGCGCCGGGCCTCGTCGCCGCGCTCGACGCGCTCAGCGTCGCCAACGTCGACTTCTCGCGCGAGACGGCGGCGGACTGCCACATGACCTACCGCATCAACGGCCACCGCGACGAGCACCGCAAGATGATGCGCCAGTACTACCCCGAGGCGACGGCGACCAACGCGACCTACGACGACGCCCACTGGGACTGGGCGAGCGTGCCGCCCGTGCCGCGATGGCCCTGCCACTAACGTCACGCGCCCTCGCGCCTAGAAGCAGACCTTCCCCTTGCATCGCCGCGGCTTCGGCTTCGTCGGCGGGCCGCTCGGCTTCGGCGCGTCGACGGCCTTCTCCGCGAGCAGCTTCGTCAAGCGGGCGACCTCGTCGCGGAGCTCGGCGACCTCCCCCTGGAGCTTGCCGACGCGGCCCGCCTCGTCGCGCGCGGCGACCGTCGCGGCGTACGCGGCGCACGCCGGCGGCCACGCGTAGCCGAGCGCGGCGTAGTCGACGGCGAGGAGCTCGCAGAGCGTGGCCTGGACGCTATCGGGGAGCGTCGCCGGCGTGATGGCGCCGAAGGACTCGAAGGCGACGCGCTTCGCGGCGTTCGCGGCGTCGTACGCGCGCTGCGAGTAGCGGAAGCGCCGCTGCGTGTTCTCGTCCTGGTCCGCGAGGGCCGCCGCCGTCCGCGCGCCGACGATGGCGCCGGCGTCGTGCTTGTGGTGGAAGCCCGCGGCCTCGGCGGCCGCCGCGAGGCCCGCGAGGCCCACGCGGGCCTCGAGGAGCCGCCAGAGCGGCGCCGTGCCGTCCTCGAGGGGCCAGACGTAGTCGAACCGGTGGCCGCAGTTCTGGCCCACGCTCTTGAGCACGGGCGCCTGGAGCGCGAGGTGGCCCGTGAGGAGCCGCTCGCGGCTCGCGGCGAACATGTCCGACACGAACGCGTGGAACCGCGCGGGCCTGCGCGACATTCTTCAACCAGACTTCAATGTGAGCGTATGCGACAGCTTTGATGCAATCTCTTCGGCTGTGCTTCGAGAACTCGACGAGAGCAGTCGATTCGTCCAAAAATCAGCCGAATCGACTTCGATTTGACCGAGCTAGAGAATTCTGAAGTTTGGTCAGGGCCTGCGCGACGTCGACCGCCGGTCCGGGACGTCCCGACCGAACTTGTGCAATGCTCTCGCTCGGCCACATCGACGTCGATTCGGCTCTCTTTTGGACGGATCGATGGCTCTCGTCGAGTGTTCGAAGCGCAGCGGCAGTGCTCGCGTCGAACCCGTCGCGCGCGCGCGCGTCGCGGTCGAACTCGAAGGTTCGAGGTCCGCGCGGGCGCGGGCTCCGTCGCGACGGCGAAGTGGGGCAGGTGGGCCAGGTGGCCGATGGACGTCTCCGTGTAGTAGCCCGAGATGAAGCGGAACGTGGGCTCGCGCGTCCAGGCGAACGTGATGGCGACCTTGGGCCGGCCCGGCGGCCACGGCGGCGCCGCGCGGTAGGGGCACGTGTAGCAGAGGCGCCGGCCCGCGTCGGGCCCGGCCGGGTCCGCGGCCGACACGTACGCCAGCACGCCCGGCGCCTCGGCGGCCGCGAGCACGGCCATGGTCGCCGTCGACGACGCCTTGGGCACCTGCGCGAACCGGAGCCGCGACGCCGGGCCGTCCCAGACGTTGACGCACGACCCCTTGGAGGCGGCGACGACGCGCTTGAACGCGACCCAGAGCGCGTCCGCGCGGCGCCGCGCCTCGTCCTCGACGGCGTCGACGGCCGCCGCCGCCCACCGCGCGGCCGCCGCGGACGCCTCCGTGTCCGCGTCGGGCGGCGCGGCCGCGGCCGGCGCTTTCGGGGGCGCGTAGCCGCGCGCGACCGCGAGCTGCGAGACGAGGCGGTTCGCCCGGGCGACGACCTCGAGGTCGCAGAGGTTCGCGAGGCGGAGGAGGCCCAGCGCTTCGCCGTCGAGGTCGTAGCCCCGCGCCTTCGCGTAGGCCGCCGCCGTCTCCGGCGCCGCGGCGCGCGGGGGCTCCGCGGCTTCGAGGCCGACGACCGCCCCGAGCACGAAGTACGACTCGCCGGGCAGGTCCGCCAGATTGAGCACGGCGGCGTAGCGGGGCAGCACCGCGAGCGCCGCGGCGAGGACGTCCGGCGCGCACGCGTCCGCGGTGGCGTTGAAGCGCGCGCCGGGCAGGAGGTGGCGCGTCGCGAAGTTGCGGAGCTGGCGCCGGTCGCCCTCCGAGCCGCCGCCGCGGACCGCGGCCCGGAACCCGGCCGCGTCGAGGCCTGCGAAAACGGGGGCGGCATGTCCGGGCGCGCGTCGATGGAGACGCCGCGACGCCGGTCGAGGCCTCGCGTCTTCGCCGCGTAGGACACGAAGCGCTTGATCGGGTCGCGGACCAGGAGCAGCCACGCGTACGCGGTCCACAGGCTCGCGCCCGCGGGCGCCGCCGCGGCGGCGTCGAGCACGGCCCGCGCGCCGGCCCCGAGCCGCCGCCCGGGCTCGACGACGACCGCGTTGCACAGCGCGGCGTCCGCGGCCATCGCGCGCGCCGTCGCCGCGAAAGTGAGGTTGTGGTCCGCGACGGACCCATTGAGCGCCTTGAGGTAGTGGAACGCGCCGCCCTCGAGCCGGCAGTCCATGTCCGGACCGCCGTGGAACTGCCGGCAGGCGAGGTCGCAGAGCGTCCCGCCGCCGGACCGCGACACGCTCACGGCGAGGATGGGCCGCGGCGGCGCCTGCGATCCGGCGCCGACGACACAGCAGGCGACGAGCAACGCGGCGCACCGAGCGCAGGCCGTCATGCCGCGCGACACGGGTGCACGCCCGACTAGCGAGCGCAGCCCAATGATGCCTTGACGCAGGTGCAAGCGCGCATGCAGCCCACCGCCATCGCGCAAAGTCTAGTCCGAGCGGTGCAACAAACATGGTGAGCGTCAAAGAGCCGCAGGGCGCCAGTCGCGCGCGCGTCCCCTTCAATAACTTGGTCAACAAATGTGTTACAAGAATCACGTGCAACTTCGTATAATCCAACGGATCTACGTGGACATTCGCATGCATGTATATACCTGATACGGTGAAACTGAACATTTCTGTTTCTACGACAACATCAATCGACGAAGGGCGATTGATTGCGTGTCTAGGACAGCAATCACACTTCGAAAGCACTATGACAAAAGATCTTCCAGTAGTCCTACAATGTCAGATCGTGGCGGATTTCTTCTTGGAGACGTCGCCGGAGACCAGCGCGCCGCTGCCAAGGAGCGCGTCGACGCCGGCGTCGACGGCCGTGGCGTCGAGCGGTTCCACCGGAAGTCCGCGGCATACGCCCCGAGCCGAAAGGCCGCACGCGAATTCGACCATGTTGCTGCACCGCTCGGGATTCTTCTCGGCGTGGTCCGCGGCCATAGCCAGGATCCGTCGCGGCGCCCAGGGCCTCCCGCACAAGTTTCTCGGGCCCGAGGAGCAGGTCCGCGGCCGCCATGCAGTGGAGCGCGACGAGCGGGTGGCCCGCGCCGTGGAAGCTCACGTCGAAGTCGTCTTCGAGGCCGGCCGTGCGGCCGTCGACGAGGCGCGACGCGCCGTCGCGCCGCGCGCCGCCGACGCGTATCCGGACGTCGAGGCCCTCGAGGGTCGCGGCGACGGTCTCCGGCGGCGAGTCGCTCAGGATGAGCGCGCGGACGCGGCGGCCGGGGAGCCGCGCTCGCAACGCCGCGACGACGCGGAGCGCGTTCCGGAGGTGCGCGCCCTCCACCCTCATCGGGCGTTCGTCCGTCGCGGAGACGTTCGGGACCAGGTCGGGGTGGATGAGGTCGCCGAGGCGCACGTGGACGACGACGCGGAGCTCGCCGTCGGCCGCGCCGCAGTCGACCAAGGCGTCGCGGTCGACGGCCGCGTAGGCCTCGGCGACCGCGCGGCGCGCGCGGCGCCCCCGCGGGCGCTTTTTGGTCCGCGGGGGCGCGTCGGTCGGCGGGAGCGCGTCGAAGCCGAACCACTCGTCGAGCGGCGGCGCGAGGAAGCACTCGAAGTGGCCCCGGAACAGCGCGTCGCCCGTGGGCCAGCGGGCCGCGATCTCGTCCTGTAAGCCACCGTTTCCCGGCCCCCAGTTCCGCGCGTGGAGCCAATCTCGTTCGTGGCAGCAGAGCGACGGCGCGAAGCCGTCGCCAAGGCCATCGACGTCGCGCAGGTAGGCGGACGCCTCGCTCACGTACTCCTGGAAGTAGTGGGGGCCCGGGCCCGGGCCGCGGCGGTCGGCGATCATCTCGACGATTCTGTATCCGATGTGGCCGAGGCCGTCTTGTCCGCTGACGGGTTTATCCACAACGCCCACGCAGTCTGTCGGGAAATAGGGCTTGTATCTTTTGTAAATGCGGATAGGTTCGCGCTCGCAGACGTGCTTCGACAGGAGGGCGAAGTCGGGCACGATCGCCGGCGCCGCCAGTGCGAGGCGCCACCATGACGTGTTCGTCGCCGCCACGCCGGAGATCGCGGGCGCCGCCGCCTTCGTCGCCGCCACGCCGGAGATCGCGAGCGCCGCCGCCATGATCATGGCGACCCAGCGGGTCGCCCCGCGCATTCTCAGCACCGGCAGTGGAGTGAAGTGGCCGTCCACAGGTGCCTGTTAGCCGCGTCGCAGGGAGGAACCGGAGGGAGAGAGAACAGCGAAGGGAGGCGTAGGGTGCCTCCGGCGTGTGAGACCCCTCTGAGCCTCCCGTCCCCCTGCGGTTCCTCCCGGGGCCCCTAGGTTTAGAGACGCGTCGAGGCACTGACGGTGAGGCAAATGTGCTGATCGCTAATTTTGATGTCGACAGGGTACCTCGGCGAACCGAGCTAGCCGGGCGCGAGGCCGCCGACTTGCCGTCGCAGCGGAGCCCTGGTCCGAGTCGCGCTCGCCCCGTAGTTCCCTCGAGCGGCGCGTCCAGGGCCGCGGCGAGCGCGGCGAGCGCGGCCCTCGCTGGCGCCACGCCGGCGGAATCAAACGAGCGCGCCGCTTCCCAGCAACTCCTCGGCGTTCGGGCTAGGTTCGCATAGCGACTCACCTCATCTCCCGCATTTTGTCGCTGAAACACATTAGCAGACGCGCAAGCATAGCGGATGTCTCCCACCCGAATGTCCGCAATCGTCGCGCTTCTTCGTGCTCGACAGGAAGTACTGGAGCTTGCAGGGCGCGTAGCCGCGCGCCGCGTCCTCCGCCGTCCATTTTCCGTCCAAGTCGAAGATCGCGGGCGCGCCCCGCGCGTCGCGCTTCGCTGCGACGAACGCGGCGCGGCCCATGTTCGAGCCCGAGTTCGCGGCGACGACGTCCGCCTCGGCGAGGAGCGCGACTGCGGCGACGAGGAACTGGCCGAAGGGCAGGCCCGCGCTCCGGAGCGCGGCGTCGACGTGGACGATGCGGACGCCGCGCGCCGCGGACGCGTTCACGACCTTCTCCGCGAGCACGTCGTCTTGCGTCAACACGACCGCGACGTCGCCGCGCGCCGTGCGCTGGGCGAAGAAGTCGACCCACTCGGCGTCGTCGAACATCGTGAAGCCCGTCCTGTCGGAAAGGGCGTCATGAACGCGGTCGCCCCGGCGCACGTGGACGCCGAGCGCGACGCGCGTCTCCGCGGGCAGGTCGAGCGCCGAGCGCATCGCCGCGGTCGTGGCCCGGACCGCCGCGCTCGGGCGCCAGAGGACCTCGGTGAACGCGGCCAGAGCCTCGTACCGCGTCCAGTTTCTCGCGAGCGCGCGCTTCGCGGCCGCGGCGCTCCGCGGCGCGCGCGCGGCCGCGCACGCGGCGTCGTCGACGGGCGCGTAGAAGCAGCCCATCGTCGCTTTTTTTTTCTTGCGGCCGCAGCCGCGGCCGTAGTCGTCGGCCGCGTGGACGTGGGGCGGATTATGGACAGGGCTCGACGAAAACAACTTGTCCAGGCGCTTGCCCTTCGTCGCCACGTCGAAGGCGAGCTGCGTCGCCTGGTTGATCTGCGAGTAGAGGCCGCTTGGGTGGGGTGGTGACTTTTCCCTCGGGGCCTCGCGGAGCGCGCAGAGGATTCCGAGCATCTCGTCGCCTTGCGACGATAGCTGAGGCCCGCGCGACAGCTCCGGCGCGCCGCTGCCGAGGAGCGCGTCGCCGGCGTCGACGGCCGTCGCGTCGAGCGGCTCCACGGGAAATCCGCTTCCCACCAACTGCTCGACGCCGGCGTCGACG